GGTTTTGTTTCAGTTTCTTCCAAATCCTCAGACTCTGTCGGAGCTATCATATCAGTTACATGTACTAATTCTGTAGTGAGTTCTTTTGATATTATTGCACTCTCTTTATCCGGTGTAAAATCTTCGAACGGTTTTGTTTCAATCTCTGCTAAACTTAAGCGATTCACAACTTCCTCTGACTCTGTCCAAGCTTTCCTTTCAATATGTTCTCTCTCTGTAGCTGGTTCCTTGAATATTAATGCACCATATTCCTGGAGGACCTCTCTATCCGGCATAACATCTTGGATCGGTTTTGCTTCTTTCATTTCAACTTCAAGATTGCTTGCAAGAATTTCTGATTCTGTCGATTCTGTTTTATGTGTTGTAGCAGGTTTTTTTATGTTGAATATTTTTTGTTCAGAATTTGCTATCCTTTGCTGGTGTTCTTTCATCATGCATTCATAAGCAGCTGGAGTTCCTACGGCTGTGAGAGCAGCAGGAGTGACAATCACACTTGCTAAAACTGTGCCCACTTGTTCACCGCGCCGGAAAAATCCATTTTGAAATGTTTCCCCGTTTTCATGAATGCAGCTTCCACTCTGTTTCAGATTTTCTTGTCTTGCAATTCCAGATGTTATCAGGTCTGAATGTATACCTGATCTTTTACACTGCATTGTCTTAGCTTCTTGTTCGGATTCCATTGAAACATTGCTTTCTAACACCGCCTTTTCACATGGTTTTAACCCAGCTTCTTTCAGGTTTTGTGACCCAAGATGCTTTGTATGAATTTTTTCATTAATTGCTGTTTCGTGCCTATTATTTTCGGGTTCCATTAACTTTTCTTCTCTCTCTCGTTCCGAGGAAATCACTACAACTGGTGTCCCCCCAGCATTTCTTTCTTGCCTTTCCTTCGTGACTTCAGGTAATAATCTACTTACAGATTTCTCCTGTTCGACAAGTACTTCATATTGAAAGGTTGTCGACTCTTTTGTCTCAGAACCCTTTTGTCCTAAAATGTTGTATTCCTGAAGATACTTTGATACGGGTTTTTCACCTAATATGTATACATTCTCATTTAGTATCTGCTCTGTTCGCATTCTCATCGTGTCTTCATCAGATGCTTCCAGAATATCCTTTGCTCTACTGCTTGTTTCCGCGTCTTTTAGCCGTATTACTATATCTTCAACATCTTCCCCAGTTAGTCTTTTCTCAACTTCAGTTGTACTCTTTCTTTTCTTTCTATCTCCCTTCTTGTCCCTTAATGCAACTTCACTTGATATTTGCTGTTGTTCTACATCACATATCTTTCTTTCTACACATTCCTCCGATTGTACCTGCAAGAATTGGGCAGTATCTCGTTTATTTCCGCTATGGTCATCATTCAGCTCTTTTTTTAAACGCTTTTTCGGCACCACGCCGTTTTTTCTTCCAATAAGTGCTGAACGTATTGCTGTTTCTTTGACATTATCCATATTTGATTTATCAGCATTACTGACACTTCCCTTCCCTTCTTCAGGCCAAATCTGATTTTCTGTTGGAAGATTAGGATGGAAGTATGTACCGTCTTTTTCCTCCACATTGTTTGTTAACTCCCAAGAAATTACGCGCTCTTCCGTTGTCTTCACCTCGGTATCTTGCGGATAATTTCCATCCATTTCATGCTGTTCACCTGCAACGTTCTGTATAGCTCTGTCACATTTTATTACTTGTTCCCACCTACTTTTATCGGATCCTTCAAGGGCTATGTCCACGTCCTCAACATCAAGATCCAATTCGGAGCTTATTTCATTCACATGCTTAATATCTACAACGGTATCCCTTATTTTGCCTACTTCTCTCCACTCCCTTTTTTCGTCTTCCATGTCCTCCCTTTGGGTCCATTCATAAATAGCAGTGATATTTTTCATTTCAATCTCATTGTGTGGAGGTGAAGGTGAAAGTTTACCCACGTCTTCATACCACCTCTTTCCATTATTCAAAGAAATGCCTACAGCACTAACTTTTGATTCTTCATTTCCTTTCGTGTCTTTTATTTTCACATGTACTAATTGGTAAAAATCTTGCAGCCTTTGCAAACTTTCAGCTTCTTTTGCGATATTTATTGACGTTTTTTCAATATTTCCTGACCAATGTTCTGAAAGTCCCCCAAGAACTTTCTCAAATCTCAATTCCCCTAAGTTAGGCTGGTCTAAAAATGTCTGCTGAACCTTTTCATCATCCTCTTTTACGATAACGTCTTGTTTTCTTTCTGAAGTAAATGTTGAATTCACTTTCACTTTTGATCTTTCTCGTTCTGATTCAATTTGCTCTGCAAATCCTTCACCTGTCGTTCCCCCTACAACGGATATTAAAACTTCCTGCACTGATTTTTCCATTTTTGGCCATTTTGAGTGAAGTATGGGAGACTCTCCCATTTCAGCAGGTCCCTCTTTTATGGTTTCCACGCTTTTACTGTTCCATTCTTCCTCCGTTTCAACTGTTGATTCAATATATTCTGGTGTCTGTTTATGCTCTTCTCTTTTTACTGAATCACGAAGCGAACCACGAAAATGTAATCTATCTTCGTAAACTTTTTCTCCGGCCGTTTTAACTTGTCGCTTTTCGTCCACCGTTCTTGAGTCTTTCCAATCTACTTCTTTGTACGGTAATCTAGATAATTCCGTTGTTTCAGTCAGAATTTTGGATCTGTCTAAAATGCTTTCTCTAACTTCTTCAGGATGAGCTCGATCTCCGCAAATCTCACCATTTC